GGGCATCTTTGCTTAGACTGCTGCCCCCGCGACCCGGTTCCGGATAAGCTGAGGAAAATGGATGGATGGATGGAACTGCTCTAAGTTGGTTCAAATCAGAAAGATTTCAATTTGTTCATGTTAATGATGAATCTTCCACACAGACTGAAGTTTGTCACGGCGTTCCACAAGGCTCTATATTAGGTCCAATTCTCTTCACTTTATACATGCTCCCTTTAGGCAAAATTATCAGGAAGCACAGCATAACTTTCCATTGCTATGCAGATGATACTCAGTTATATTTATCTATGAAGCCAAATGAATCAGATCAGCTGGTCAAACTTCACGCATGTCTTAAAGACATAAAGGCCTGGATGGCCTGTAACTTCTTACTTCTAAACTCTGACAAAACCAAAGTCATTGTGCTTGTGCCTGAAAACCTTAGAAATCTGCTGTGTAATCATATACTGTAGTTACTTTAGATGACATAGCTCTCGCCTCCAGTACTACTGTGAGGAACCTTGGAGTCATCTTTGATCAGGATACAGTATGTCCTTTAAATCACACATAAAGAGCACTTCGCTCTCAGAGTGCAGGTTTACTTGTGATTCCTAGAATCCACAGAAGTAGAATGGGAGGCAGAGCCTTTAGCTATCAAGCTCTCTTATGGAACCAACTCCCAGTCTCAGTTCGGGAGGCGAACACCCTCTCTACCTTTAAGATTAGACTTAAGATGTTCCTTTTTGATAAAGCTTATAGTTAGGGCTGGATCAGGTGACCCTGAGCCTTCCCTTAGTTATGCTGCTATAGGCCTAGGCTGCTGGGGGGCCCCACGATGCTCTGAGTTTCTCTCCCCTCCCCTCTCCTGTACTCTCTCTCTATGCCACCATTACACATTACTAACTTTGTGTCTCCTCTCCGTGTGTCCTTTCTGCAGGTTGCCCTGGGTCTGGAGCTCTACGTCTCTGACAAGCAGTCACCGGCCACATCAACCTGACCAGTGTTTGATTGTTTGTTGTGTCTTGTTGCTTTTCTTCTTTTCTCTCTCCCCTATCCACTCCCCCAAACCGGTCGAGGCAGAAGGCCACCCACCAAGAGCCGGGGTCTGTCGGAGGTTTCTTCCGTTAAAGGGAGTTTTTCCTCCACTGTCACCAAGTGCTTGCTCAAGGGGGATTTGTTGGGTTTTTCCTATGTAATAATAGTGATAACAGTAAGGTCTAGACCTTACTTTGTAAAGTGTCCTGAGATGACTTTTGTTGTGATTTGGTGCTATACAAATAAAATTTGATTTGATACATCTTTTGAGAAAAATGCTACCGCACATGTACACTCATGGGGCACTTTATTAGGCACACCTGTACTATGTACTTCCACCTGAACATCTGTGTTTATGAGGCTCAGAATAGTTTTTGGTGAAATTGTCATAAATGTATTGTCATGAAAATTACATTATTAAGTATGTTTTAAACTGTGTTCTAATCAATATATTAACCAATATATGTTATTCAATGGATTTTAAGCTTTCAGAACAGACTACAGATCACAGGGACCTGTGAGACACTCCATGTGTGAACTGAAGGACATGTTTTATCTTTGTTTTCAGTATTCTATGTGTTGTTATATGTTCAGCCAGGATGGCATTCCAGACTTAAAGGAGCCAGCCATAAACTCTTTCCTGCCATATATTGTGAAGATGAAAGGACAACATATTTATCGTCTGAGGGGTTATCAGGGCAAAGCCTCTCAAGTTAACTTGAGTACCAGTATTTGTAGTTTATGAGGGCCAGTATAGAAAAGAGAGGCCAAAAACAAATTTTTTTTTATAGGAGGGTGATGAATGAACATGCTTTAAGGAGGCTAAAAGAGGATTTTATGGGGCAAAACTGGGAAGCAGTTTATAGAGAGGATGACTTAGATAAAGCATATGAGCAATTTTTAAACATATTTAAGACTGTATATGACAGGAACTGTCCTCGTTGAGGTCAAAATATTAGGAACAACTTGAGCTTCGTAAACAGATGTTAAGGTGGAACTGTTGCATTTAAGTGCATACAACTGTACATTTGTACCTAATAAAGTGGCCGGTAAGTGTATACCACTGTACAGCATCAATGCATCCCTGAATCTCTGGCAGTGTTTCATAGGCAAAATGCTAAGACTGCAACCTAAAACTACACAAAACTGTTTGGCCTGGACTGGCACAGACTAAACTTTATTGTTACGGTTTAGTCGACCTCACCAGGAGGGTGAGGGAGAACTGAGGTAGGACTCAATATGGCTGACCTAGGTGCTAGTGAAAAAAGGTGATTTAATGGTGAAAAAACAACGTAGTACAGAGTCCATAATACATACAACCAGGGAAGGGCAGTGATGACTAAGGGGACTAGTACGACCAAGGGAGTAGACAGGGTAACAACAGGAACTAGGAGAGGAGGACGGACAGGGGAACAGACATGCTAACCAGGAGGATAGGCGAACGAAAATGGAACTCCACAGCACAGGAACTGTCAGCGTGGAAAACAAAATACGTCTGCTGCATACCACAACTATCGGACTGTTACAGGGTATGCACGTTACAATAGTTACTGTTGCGTTAACTTAGGGTAAGTAATGCTCTGGCGATGGCGGAGCGTCTGCCAGAGGTATAAATAAGGAGGGAGTCAATCAGCGGGATGCACCCCAGCTGTGTGCACCAACAAGCGAATCGCTAATTACGAATGCAACACAGCTGAGGTACGAATCCCGCAGGTCAAGAGAACAGAGGAGAGAAAGGCGGACAAGAGGCAGGTCACGCCGAGCGGACCTGACATTTATCCCCAACACATACCATCACCTACAACTAGTCAACGAAGTAATGTAATCCAGCAGTTACAGAGAAGCATTATCATTCATATCGAGTCATGTTTCAGGTCACCTGGTGAATCGATGTCCAATAGTCCCACTTTTTTACACACATTTCTGACCTTTACCGACCCCAAGAGAAATATCTGCTGACTGGATGCTATGCTAGCTAGCTGAGCTTATCATCGATATCTGTTCAAATCTACAGTATAGTGTTGCCATTGCAAAAAACCATGGAGTGTTAGGGCCACCAGTAGGTGAAAAATTTGAGAATATTCAAGCTGGCATCATAGCAACTACAAAATTCACTATAAAAGGCTTCAAACTGATACTTAAGAAACAGAAAATATGAATAGCAGGGATCGTGTACCTGTGTTTGACCCCAGTATTCAAGAGCTGCTGTTAGTTTTACAAACTGCCAGATGCCACTGTGCTTTCTGTGTCTGAGGCCCCAAATAGAAAGACAGTCCCAAAGCTTCAAAAGGCTTCATCCCTTCATCACCACAAATCAGACCAAAGTGTCTTTTCTCTGATACACAGCATGATCTTTATAGGTGATCATCTCAGTGCAGGACTGCAGCTTGCACTGTTTCCACACAGAAGACAGCATTAAAACATTGTTGTATTGTTTATATACAGCAGGTATGGACAATCAGAGCTGAAGTTCACCCAACAAATCTTGGGCAAAAGTGTTTTCACACTACTGTGTTGGTTTTCTTAGGCCTTTCAAAGTACACCTTCATTTGACAATATTTGTAAAATGGTCTTAAACTTGTATAGCACTTTACTACACTTTTACAGCACACTCAAAGCACTTTTACACTACTCGGCCATTCGCACTCCCAAACACTCACTGAACTTGGGGTTCAGTGTCTTGCTCAAGGACACTTCGACATGTTGACTGGACAAGCGGGGAATCGAACCGCTAAACTTCCGGTTAGGAAATGACCCGCTCTACCTCCTGAGCCACAGTACTTTTTGTACTGTACATACAAGGACAAGGCTTTGGCTTCAAATTGCATTTATGCATGATAATCATACATTAAATTCTTAGTTCACATTGTTCAGTTTTAACTCGTTGCTTTAATCACTAAATGATTAAAGTGATATGTAAAGCGGATGAGAGATCGGGTGTTTCCATTACCAGTGGGACTAGGCTAAGTGTGTATCTACTACTAGAACTGTGTGTATATACCCAGTATATTTCTGTATTTATAGGTACTTTATTTTTTAGTTTCCTAATGCACATTCCTTTTTCTTGTTTGTACTTTGTTTTGTTCTCTCAGTCTTATCTTGTGTACTCATTGCCTTATGGAAGAGCAGTGTACATGCACATTGAGAGCCACTGCACCTGAGTCATATTCCTCATGTGCCCAACACAGGAGCTGATTCTGATTACGATTACAGAGAATTAAAATAAACATACAGTAATAGTTTTGATGTTTCGTATAAAATTAGTTTGCTCTAAAAAAAGATATTGTCCTCATAACATTATGATTTGATTCTAGTGGCTCTGACCCTCCGATGCTCTGATGAAGGCCATTGCCTGAGAAAATTCAGCCATAATAATGAAATACTAAGCTCCACGGGCATCTCTGCTTTCATGGTGTGCCACTTTTCTTGACTTTTTAACTCTTGATTTTTGATGTTGAGCACCCAGTTGAAATACATTTGTTTCTTTTTTTAAGATGATGTGGTTATCAGGTTTGTAAACTGTATGTTGTGTCTCCTCCCAGCATGACCTGTGTCCTTCATTTGACCTGCAAATCAATGAACACATCTACTATACATGCTATATAGACAATAAATGCTACTGAACTGCAGACACATATTAAACAGCAGTTTAAGAAAGAAATTTCGTGCAGAGTCTATTGCTGGCTGCACTCTATGGAGACCAGCTGACTTGTCTTCTGTAGTACCTTATTCAGGTGTCAATAATAATGGAATGACAGTGACCAAATAATAACTTGCACATCCAATCTAATAGCAAGGACATGTACAGTAGAAGCCTTCACAGAAAGACAAACAATCTGAAATCAAGGGATTAAAGCACCTGGTGTCTGTAATGGAAAACAGCAGTGTTGGACAACATAAAAGCAAATTAAAAGTCTATTAATGCACAACTGATGCAGGGATGAGGATGGTGAGTCAGCAAAACACCGGCTCAGAAGCTTGCTAACCTTCCTCACTCGCACCATCTCCGTCTTTGTTTTGTCCTGAGGAGAGCGCTGCTCCCCCGGAGAAAGAAAGACACAGTCACTATACGTTAAGCTCTAACTCAGCAACAAACATCCATCTATCCATTTGTAACAGAATAAAGATCATATAACACTTTAAAGCTTCCTTTGACAGTGATACTGTGGACTGATAACACGTACCAGTATCAACAAAAAAAGTGAACCTTCTCCACTACAAGTTGATTCCCAAGGTATTCGGACCGCTCCACTGTTTGTGAACTTCATTTTATTGTAGATGTCATTTTGAATGGATAAACTTGCCATGTTGCCCATCAATCAACACTAAATAACACACAATACACACATGCATGCAGTGGGCACTTCATTAGGTATACCTGTACATTTGAACACTGTCTAACACAACAGACCTGCCATAACATCTTTATGAAGCTCATAATGTATCAGCTTTCAGTAGGATCATCAGAAACCTATGAATTCACTTATATATTTTTTTATTGAGGTCACTGATAAAGGTGGTGTTGTCCTGGACTGCATTACTTTCAGTGGTGTCTCTATAGTGTTGTTCCCACCATTTACATAGATGAGGGGTTCAGATTATTAGGAACACGTCAGGTACAGCACCACGTTTAACTAGGACCTCGATTATAAACTATTTTTGTTCATATTGTTTATAAATAAAGTGCTCAGTGAGTGTAAATACTGTATGTAGTTATTTATATATGGGATCAACAGTCGGCTCATGCACCGAGCAAACAAACCTGGCTCTTTCTGTCTCTTTCATAATTGCCGGTGGGCACAGAGGGGGAGTGCCTCCGCTCTCTCCTGGCCACTGTCTGGTAGCACAGATAACGCACACACATCAGGACAGATTCTAGGTACAACCAGGGCTTAAACCTTCCACAAAACACTTCTGTTTCCATACTAAACTAAAACAAAAAGTTTCAACTGTTGAAGAGTTTCTCTTTCATACTGTATATCCTGGCTACACTGGCAACAAAATTATATTTGTACTTCTGGCACTGCTCCGTACTAATCATACATTCCAATGAGGGCTAAGAGACTCCATGTGAACACTTAAACCAATAGGCAGCCATTCTTTTGCAAAGAAATAAGTGTACTTATCAAAATGAAGGTATTTTTAAGGCCAGTTATTAGATTCTATTTGCTAAAAAGAGAGGATGCATGCAGTTTGAAAGGTTGCAATGTTCAAAACCTGTAGCTATGACACAATGCATTTTAGTATTTGAAGCTCTCCTCCTGTTGGTAGACAGTTTACAGTACAACCCAGTGGCCTTACAAGTTAACTTTACATTACTTTGCTTCTCATGGCATTTATGATGTTTGCTATATTATTATTGGACAACTCCTTATGTAGCTTTTTATGCCTCTGCACTAGTGATAGTTTAACGTTTGAAACTGAACTGTAAATATGACCCTTGTATAACTGTATGTTTTCATCACTGTCTACCTCTGGCGCCCTGTAAACTTCCCTCTTCTGTTCATTAATGAACAAACGTAAAGCTTGATGGTACAGTACATAGGTACATACAGTATGTCCACTACCTTGATTTCGGGAGTGGCCTTTGGTCTGGGGCTATGGCTCTTGGTGTACTGAGGTAGCAGACTCTCTGCCCTGAACTCTGCCTTCCGGTCTGCAGAGCGGTAGCCTTTAGGTGTGCAGCCATCATGATGGTCAAAGCGAGGCAGGGTGGGGAGCAGCGGTGATGGGGCTGCCTCTCCAGGAGACACCAGCGACATAACGGGGGCACTGACCGGCCGAGTAGATTTGTTGTCAGGAGTGGACGCCATGGCTGTAGGGGACAGAGAGCAGAGACAACGGGCTCACTTTAAAAGCAATGCAAAACAAACGAAAAACCATTTATTAACATACTGTAGTGTCTGAGCTCTTCACCCTATCTCTAACGCCATACGCCCTTCAAAGAAACTTGCTCCAGCTGCTTGCTTTCAGTCACATTCTTTCAGCCGAAACCCAAAGCTCATGAGCACAGTTGAGGGTTAGAATGTACTTGGTAGAGCTTTGCCCTCAGACTCACTGTGACTCTTGAATTCCATCTTGTCTCATGAACAAGACCCTGAGACTACCACGGTCGGAGAAAACCATCCCAGTGTGCACTGGCAGTCACAGGTCGATCAAACAAGAAGACGCAGATCCTCCTCAAAAAAAAGCAGAGCTGCAGTGTTGAGGTCATCAAACCAGACACGCCTCTCTGACAGCGTCTCAACAGCCATAGAATATAGGAAACTTCAAAGTTCAGAGTGGTATTGTATTTATACAAGATGACATACTGAAAATGTAATATTATATCTGCCATGCACTGCACAAAGCCGCTGCATTTTACAAAAACAACAAAGCTACATTAATAACATTTCAACAAAATGATAACTTTAAACTTTAATGTGTATATACATATACATATATATATATATATATATATATATATATATATATATGTGGTCTAAAAATTTTCACAGGAAACGTTCGGTTTCATGTAGTCATGGAGAAAAGTTGAAGGACTTGAGACCAAACAAACAGACTGACTCTCATTGAAGGACCAGACTGCTTTATAGCCTCATCTAAACTTTACTGGATTTGGGAGAGTATGCTGCAGCCATAACCACATTATTTGTGCCTGTTTTGTGTGGCCATGTTTATGTGAGATGCTAGGATCTGTGTGAGATGCAAAAACCATTGAATGGCGATCCTTAAGTGTCTCATTGTGATTGCCTGGAGTGGTGGATTCAGCTGACAGTCCTCTGGAGGCTCATCCCTTTCACACTGTCCCATTGTTTTTACGTTGTCATTTAGTATTTATTAACTCAACTCAACTCAATTCAACTCAACTTTATTTATAAAGCACTTTAACACAGCCAAGGCCAACAAAGTGCTTAACATAAGAAACAATTCAAAACATCTAAAAACGTAACAACTACATTATTTAAAATACCAATAAAATAAAATAAAAGAACCAACATAGCAAAATAACAAAATACTATCAACCAAAACACAGCCAAAACAGAGTCTCATGGCATATCAAACGCCAAGGCATACAAATGAGTCTTCAAGTAAGTTTTAAAAATAGCCAACGAGGGGGCCTGCCTGATGTAAAGGGGCAGCGCATTCCATAGCTTAGGAGCCACGATGGAAAACGCTCTGTCCCCTCTCAGTTTACGCCTGGCCCTCGGTACATCCAGCAAGAGCTGGTCAGCTGATCTGAGGCACCAGGAGGGACTATAATGAAATAAAAGCTCAGCAAGGTACAATGGAGCAAGACCATTTAAAGACTTAAAAACAAATAAAAGAATCTTAAAATGAATCCTGAAAGACACTGGAAGCCAATGAAGGGATGCCAAAATAGGAGTTATATGCTCCCTTTTACGCACCCCAGCCAAGAGACAGGCAGCCGCATTCTGAACCAATTGTAGACGAGCCAGTGATGACTGGCTGACTCCAACATAAAGAGTGTTACAGTAATCCAAGCGTGATGTAATAAATGCATGGATTACTGTCTCAAAGTGCTGGCGTGAAAAAAAGGGCTTTAGCTTCGCTATCTACCTAAGGTGGAAAAAAAGAGATTTCACAACTGCATTAATTTGGCGATCAAACTACAGATCAGAATCAATTTTTACGCCCAAATTCAGGATCGTCTGTTTCTCGTACTGCTCCAGGTGACCTAAGTCAACTGAGGGTGGGTCACCAGACTTATCTGGGCCAAACACCGTTACTTAATGAAAAAGGGCACCATGCTTTCTCAGGATGGAACCAAGAGGCAATAGATATAATGAGAACAGCAAAGGCCCCAGAATCGATCCCTGCGGAACCCCCACAAGACAGTGGGGATTTTTAAAACATATCAAATATGACACTTTAAAAGAATATTTTGCAAGAAAAAGATAAGGGCCAAATTATCACCAAAATAATTCTCCTTGAGAGCTAGTATAACATATACAAAACTTAACGTCGTCATATTGATTATGTCGGGGTCACAGCCGAGGAAGGTGCAGCTGTGTCATCTCTGCATTTTTTCCACGTCTAACTTAGTGCGACACTCACATGCCAGAGATACACTGAAGCTTAGTACTGAAGTCCTTCCTCCTTTTCATACTGACAGTAAACTGACCCCTATATTGTGCAGTGTGGTGGGCCATTCATACAGACTCATACCCTGGAGACAAGAGACAATCCCACCCCTACTCAGAGACCAAATGGCACCCAGTGGTGCAGTTCTACAAATGCCATCTTATGTGTGGAGCAGCAAACTAGTGAGTCAGTCACTCTTGCTTTGTTTCTCTTGTTAAACAGAAGCATATAGTATTTTCCACTGCACTTAATTAACTCAAATTAAATGAAAAGTCGATAGCCACAGTTAATGGCTTCCCAATTCTCTAAAATAGACCTTTAATGATCTGCTGAGACTTCATAAAAACCAAAGCATGAACACACATCTACAATTCACACTAAGGTTCAGATGGCATTAAAATGAGGCTTCAACAGTTTAAACTATACAACTTTTCATTTTAGTCACAGTTTCCTTACTGAGCCCAGGCAGAAGGATACATCCTGTTAGTTGAATAAAGGTTTGGTGCCACAACACCACACCTGCTATAACCCTGCGCCCTGGCTGTCATGTGTAGACAGACACCCCCTAGATTTGACTAACCCCTACACATTAGCTTTGGCTGAACCTTTTGATACATTTTTTGCATACAAGGAGTACTTTGGATTTTCTCTTCCATTTCTCTACTGCAGTCATGTCACAGAGGAGTCACTTCGCAGCCAGTATGGACAATAGGAAGCATTACAGCGGCCAGTAACTCTTTCAATGTACAGTTGACCCCTAGCATCAACTTCTGTAACTCAGTAACTGGCAGTACTGGCCTGAACTTTCACAAACTCTGGTGGGATCAGTATGCAGGTGGAAAAAGGTACCTCCATCCAGGCTGCATGAGTTCCTCTTGCTGGACGAACGCTGGAACAGAGGAGCTGGTCTGTCGATCAAAGAGCTTGCTTGTCTGGTCTGGGCCTGAGTCCTACCACTGTAGCGAAACTTAGAGCCCAGTGCCAGGAACTTTCTAGGAGTGGTGGCCATCTCAGTAGAGGTCAGCCTGCGCACACAGAACATTGATACTGACAGCAAGCAGGAACATCTCGAAAAAACACTGCGCAGCCAAGTGAACAAACTAAGAGCCCACCTGAAGAAGGTATGATGTTCTACACATACTTTCCACAGTTTTTTGGCTGCCTTGTAACTGGGTAGTTTGAATCCAATTGCACTCTCATACTGTTCCACCTGTTGAAACAATAAACACAAACCTGCTAAACAGAAGACTAATGAAATGAACTTGCAACAAATTTCATTAAACAATGAACGACAGATTCTATAGGTGGATAAATATTTGCTGATAAACACGGTACCTCAGATGGTCTTATTTTGATGAAGAAGCTACTGCGTTTGTATGAGACCTTGAGGACTTTGGGCCAGGGGAAACGGTTGATCCTCAGCTTGTCTTTGTAAACCATCAGACCACTGGAGCAAACCCCCAGCATGATGTCAACACCATCCAGATCCTGACAGAGAGGCCAGACTAGTTCCATCAACTATCTACAAATTAAGAGCTTTTGAACACTGGAATGAACAACAAAGATAAAGAGAAATCCTAAAGGACAGGTCTGCGATTTTCAAATTGGTCTGAACACAGTAGTGAAGTACTCATACGTATGTGCTGTACATGAGAACAGGTCTTAGTTACTGTAACTTTGCCAGTTTTACACATCAAACCTGTACAGTTTCATTAAAAAGGTGACTGCTGTAAAAAACGCACAGTTTATCTGAGGCTCCAATGAAACTTCACCTGTCCCACTACACTAATTCGAGTCGGTATCTTTCAGAGTTCAGTTTATTTATACCAAATTTAGCTTGTTTCCCTGGATAGTGGTTCCCTGTTGTGGTGGAGGTATACATTCTAATAGCAGTGTGTACATTTGTTGTTGTTAACCAGTCTGTACTTCTGAAGTTAAGCTCCGATTTAACTTGGAAGCAAGTCTGCAGATTTGATGGAAAATTTTTTGCGGTTTACGATCTTAGGACACCCGCAAAACCTGTTCCAAATCTGTTTTTGGATTATATTTGTGCATATGTGACATCTCGAAGATGTTCCAACTTTTTCTCCAGTTTATTTCTACTGCGTTTGTGCCTCGTACGAATTAGACCATAGTTCATGTCTGCATTTATCTAGGACGTCCTGAAAGAGACAAGTGATAGGTGAAATCTGTGGGCGTTTTTGCTCAGGAACCAGAAAGGTCCAAGCCGTGGCTAACACTGGACATAAATACAGTTACCACAGTATGAGAAACGCCACAAGAGGACTGCTGTGCCATCTCCAATCAAGCAAACACAGCTCAGGAGGGGGTAAGAGCAAAGAAACACAGTATATTGTTGTTTCTCAGTCAGCCAAACTAAAGTTACATATGTGTAAGATACTGTTTCTTAAAAGCCTGCAGTGATGACTAGCAGTTCACCTACAGTGTTATGGTGACACTGACGCAGCTGTATTCAGTAGACTGTTAGTGAATGACGAGATACAGGGCCATATTATGATGAGCAAGAGAGGCTGCAATATTGATTATACATTTACATGAGTAATAAAAAGGTTCCGGTAACAGAACTTACAAGTTGCTTCTACAATGTATTCCTCCACCACAGCTCATGGAAGAACTACTTTCCTGGGAAACAAAAGAAAGAAAATGTATCTTAAATAGACTGCAACTTTGAAAAATACCAACTAGAGTTAGCTTAGTGGGACAACACAGAGAAAGGAAACACCGCTGGGAAAAAGAGAGTTGAGAGAGAAGAGAAAAATCTGAACAGAGCCGATTTGGCATTATTTCTGCTCGACAGGTTTTGGAGCAGCAATGGTGGAGCAGCGAGAGGGTGGACTGGGAGGCACAGAATCGATTTCAAGTCTCATATTACTGTTTTTTTTTGTTGTTGTTGTTGTTTTTACTTACAAATGTTGTGGATTAAGTGAATTTGATAAGGGTTTCAAAAGGATTTAGATTCTGTAAGCTGGTTTGATACTGGATTTGGATTCTATAAACTGATGTCAAACCAACATCCCATACAAGGAATGTCCCATGCTAATTTACCATTCACATACAGTAAAACATAACGTTTTAATTTATTGTTGCGAATGCTAAAAATTGCTTAACTGATAAGTGATATGTCATAAATATAATTTCCAGTATCTTACTGGTGTATTACTTTGTGAACAAAAAATTTTTTCTTCACCCAGCTTAACTTAGTATCAAGAGTCTCATTATATTAGCTTAAAAGTAGTAAGGTTTGGTAAACTTAGTTATTGTAATATATCAAATTTATCACATTTGTAAGAGTAAAGTATTGTAAGATAACTTATTACATGTGAAATGTTTTTTCTTGTTGTTTGGTTATGGCATCCAAACGCAGCACAATGGTGTGGCTTTTTCCACTGTTAAATCAGGACTGCCCCTGGCAATATGGCGGCAGGTGAGACACATCTCAGAGGCCCGGATGCGGCATCTAGTGAACATACTTTATACTCTATATGTATGTATACACAGTATCTATGGATGCTACTTCCTTGTACTGCTCACCATCATCCACAGGGAGGCAGTGTAGGCCTCTAGAAGTTCTTCGTTCTATATTCGGTTTAAATGCCTGCTCTGATGTAAACAAACTGACCTGGTTTCAGCTCTAACACCTGACAAGTTGCACACCATTATGTTGTCTGGGCCAGGCATGCATGCTTCAGGAGATGCATGACATAAATATGCTGAAAGAATAAACTACAAACACATGGGCTTTTGTTTTTCTGTTCACATCTATGACATTTGTTTTCTTGGAGCACTGGAAAATCAACTCACATTCATCTCCGGGATATGTATATTTTAGGTTTTACTGGATCTATGAAGGATTCCTGGATCTACAGTCATCATGGAAAACAAGGATGAATTACTAATTACCAATTACCAAGCACTTTTTTAAAGCATTTACTGTAACATTCACAAACAGCTGAAGAGCTGTGGCTCCTTTGCTCACCTTGGCCTGGTGGAGGTCCACTCCGTACATGGAAAGTTTCTTGGCATTCTCCAGGAACGTCAGGTCTGACTGGGCCGGACTCATTGACCTGCCACACCAACACACCACCACAGAAGGAATCCAACAAAATATTTAGATACTGTTTAGGAGAGTAGGTGAAGATGTCTTGTAACCACACCCCTGATTTATCTTTTATTTGGACATTCCCTAGTAATATGTATATAATTAGATGGAGGTACTTCTGTTGAGTGGAGTGGTCAGAAGTAAAGGTGGGGTGCATTTATTTAAGTACTGCTCTACAGATTTTAAACAAGCAATACTATTTATTAGGGGTGTGACAGACAATACTGAGTTCATGAGAACGAGACAATATATTGACATTTTTAGGAAACTTTCAATGATATAATATATGACTGGAAAGGTGCATTTTGAAATATTTTAACTAATCATCTCATAATGAATGTCACTTCAGTTCCACTTTGAGTATGAATTGTCATATGAAGAAAAGACAACAATATGCAAGCACTGTAAAAGGTTTTGCCACAAACTCAACTGACTGGCTTCTTGTTGACTCACAAAAACACAAGTGTCTTGTCAAATAACTTGCTTTATTTGCCTTCCTTGCAAACATTCCTCTACATGCATTATGGCTACCCGCAGAACACATAGAACCCAGTTACGCCTTAACTCAGGAAGAACTCTCGCGCATGTGCATAAGACAAACATAACATAACACTTCCCTCCTCTGATTTCACACCTTAGAACTGTGCACAAACTATGCATGAGCCTCTGACGTCTAACTGAATCTGTGTGTGACCTTCTAACTGAACTCCTTTCCACAAATTGAGCAGAAAAAAGCAGCGGGGGGCATCTTCTATGCTAATTTCACCCTCACACTCCGTCATGCTGGCTGCTGCTCTGGGTCTGTTGTGTACTGGTATCATGAAACAGTTTTCCACCTCAACGATAAATATCATCATGCTTTAATATCACGAGATGTCATCACAGCTGTATTTACACTACTTTAAAACAATTGTACTTTGTACTCCACTGAACGTATGGGCAACACTTCAATTTAATTCCTATCCATCAGTTACCAAGAAAGGCTAAATAAATTCTGTATTAGATCAAAAATGTGCCACACTGAGTCACTATATTCTCCATTCTGTGGAAATTAGGTAGAAATATGTTTCCAAGTCTAACTGCTGAGTTGGTCATATGTCATATCATGGAGTGCCTTTTATTTGTTAATCAGCTGCTGTTTAAAACACCAAACTAGCTCTCCGGTACACTATAAGTAAGCATGCAATTTCACCATTATGTCATGGTTTAGCTCTGCTTCCGGGTTTGAGAGCTTTTATTTTGGTTAGAGACTTCCTGCTCTGTGTCATCCCACCCGCCCCAAGCTTTACACCAGTACACTGAGTCATCTCCAGCGGTGGGTCTGTACTTACCTGTGTCTCCTCACCACCGCCTGTGTTCCTGAAACTCCAGCTATCCCGACCACTCTCCAGCCTGTCTGACACACCTGGGTGCTCCCTGCACCTCAGCTACTCCTCGGTTCTTTGTACCATTATTGTTTAATAAAGACTTTCTAAACCTCAGCCTAGTCTGGGTCTGCATATTGGGCCAAAGTCCAGAGTGAATCCTAACATATTATGTAGCACAGACATCACTTAAATGAATATTTACCACTTACAAAGTGGATCTAATATGTATGAATATTTACATCTGTTTATGAACTGATTTTCACTCATTCACTTCATAATTTCAGTTTTTTTTTTTTTACTTGAAATAAGCAAAAAGGCACTTAACTGTAGCAACACTTTCTCAGGTTTCCTTAGTACCATACTGCATAGACCTTTCTTGGATTGATCCTAATAATTAAAAGCTAAACACCAGCTAATTTTTTGGAAACTATGAGAAAAATACTCACGATTTTAATTTAAGATTTTATATAGAAAACATATGATCCTCTTACAAGTTAGGCTTTATTAGTTTAGATGATAAAAGTAGTTAAAATCCATTCATTATCTAGACAGCTTATCCTATAGAGGATCACGGGAGTGGGCGAGAGGCAGACTACACCTGGACAGGTCACCAGTCTATCACTGGGCTGACACTTAGAAACACACCAGTCAACCTAACCTGCATGCCATTCCCCACACAGGCACGGGGAGAGAAAACCCACACAGGCACGGGGAGAATATTCAAAGTCCTCATAGAAAGGTCCCACTCAGCCACTATGTTTGACCCTGGAACCTTCTTGCTGTGAGGCAACGATGTTAGCCACTGCACCACTGTGCCACCCCAACAGTTACAATGTTTCTTAAATGTGAATACACTATCATCACTAGTGCTTTTTCTTTAGATTCAGGGTTTCACCTGTAAAATAACTGTATTACAAATTAATTGTGTGTAACACTTTTACTTAGGTAAAGAATCAGAACTTATTCTGACCTGTATGTACGATGCAGCTCCATCATTTTATTCTCCAGCTCCTTAGTCTGACCCTGGACCATTTTCATGTCTTTAGCGTATTCAGTGCCATGCACCTCAGGGTCGTACTCGCCCAACTCTGACTGCAGGGCATAGGAGCCCAGCAAGGCCAGAGTGACGAAGGAACAAGGAAGACGGCCCTGCAGGATGTCCTTCCGCAGCTGGAGACACAGGTAGTACCTTCAATGCACAAAGAAGGATCATATGTACTACGTATGTAAATCTGGTTTTATGATAATAGCTAGCTGTATAGGGAGGTATGTACTGCATCTGCTGATAAAGACAGTGAGATGTGGCTCAAAGCTCCAAGAAGAAACAGTAAGTGGACCTTCAGGTCTTTGTGTGTGTGTGTTCTGATCAAAAGTTATCGCTAATCTGCTGCACTTACCTGTGATGTTAGGGTTAGGGTTTTATATTTCAGACCCTTTTATTATAAAGATCAGAATCAGAATCTGCTTTATTGGCCAGGTGTGTCAGACACACAAGGAATTTGACTCTGGTACATCGGCTCTCAATGTGCATGTACATATCCCCATGCAAGGGGCAAGTAAACAGTAAACCAACATAAGGCTGTATAACATAATAAGCAGATCCAGAGTTAGTTCATCAACACAAGTGAAGAGAACTGCACAGTTGCAATTCTTTTCTACCGTTAATGTCCACACCCTGTCATCATCAATCGTCTGTTCATTACCATACATGGCCTGTTTCTGTCTGCAGGATTCCACTACCAACCCTATCTACTTTTTCTCACCCCCGTGTGTGTATGTGTTGCAAAAGAAGTGTGTTGTGTGGGTCTGGTTTCTGTTCATCTTTACCCCAATGTAACGTGTGCGTGATGCAAAGTATCTTGTATGTGCTATCAAAGATGTGTGTCTTTCTAATTAGATGCTCTTGGAGTCCAGACAGGAAACCCCCAGAAGGTCATGGTGAGCTATGGAATCTGTCTCTGTCTGGTACTGGCATAAACTACCACATCAAGGACACACTTCTCAAACAATGAATCAACACATAGTACTGAGTGAAAGAATACACACAAATGTATAACATAGTATACAATGCATACTATACACCATCTTTATAGGCGGCATAAATGCTAAATGTTACTCAAACCTTTTGCATACAGATGTGCACATTGTCAAACTCTCTGAGATATACAGTGCCTTGCGAAAGTATTCGGCCCCCTTGAACTTTGCGACCTTTTGCCACATTTCAGGCTTCAAACATAAAGATATAAAACTGTCATTTTTTGTGAAGAATCAACAACAAGTGGGACACAATCATGAAGTGGAACGAAATTTATTGGATATTTCAAACTTTTTTAACAAATAAAAAACTGAAAAATTGGGCGTGCAAAATTATTCAGCCCCCTTAAGTTAATACTTTGTAGCGCCACCTTTTGCTGCGATTACAGCTGTAAGTCACTTGGGGTATGTCTCTATCAGTTTTGCACATCAAGAGACTTAAATTTTGCCCATTCCTCCTTGCAAAACAGCTCGAGCTCAGTGAGGTTGGATAGAGAGCGTTTGTGAACAGCAGTTTTCAGTTCTTTCCACAGATTCTCGAGTGGATTCAGGTCTGGACTTTGACTTGGCCATTCTAACACCTGGATATGTTTATTTGTGAACCATTCCATTGTAGATTTTGCTTTATGTTTTGGATCATTGTCTTGTTGGAAGACAAATCTCCATCCCAGTCTCAGGTCTTTTGCAGACGCCATCAGGTTTCCTTCCAGAATGGTCCTGTATTTGGCTCCATCCATCTTCCCATCAATTTTAACCATCTTCCCTGTCCCTGCTGAAGAAAAGCAGGCCCAAACCAGGATGCTGCCACCACCATGTTTGACAATGGGGATGGTGTGTTCAGGGTGATGAGCTGTGTTGCTTTTACGCCAAACATAACGTTTTGCAGTGTTGCCAAAAAGTTCGATTTTGGTTTCATCTGACCAGAGCACCTTCTTCCACATGTTTGGTGCGTCTCCCAGGTGGCTTGTGGCAAACTTTAAACGACACTTTTTATGGATATCTTTAAGAAATGGCTTTCTTCTTGCCACTCTTCCATAAAGGCCAGATTTGTGCAGTATACGACTGATTGTTGTCCTATGGACAGAGTCTCCCACCTCAGCTGTAGATCTCTGCAGTTCATCCAGAGTGATCATGGGCCTCTTGGCTGCATCTCTGATCAGTCTTCTCCTTGTATGAGCTGAAAGTTTAGAGGGACGGCCAGGTCTTGGTAGATTTGCAGTGGTCTGATACTCCTTCCATTTCAATATTATCGCTTGCACAGTGCTCCTTGGGATGTTTAAAGCTTGGGAAATCTTTTTGTATCCAAATCCGGCTTTAAACTTCTCCACAACAGTATCTCGGACCTGCCTGGTGTGTTCCTTGTTCTTCATGATGCTCTCTGCGCTTTAAACAGACCTCTGAGACTATCACAGTGCAGGTGCATTTATACGGAGACTTGATTACACACAGGTGGATTCTATTTATCATCATTAGTCATTTAGGTCAACATTGGATCATTCAGAGATCCTCACTGAACTTCTGGAGAGAGTTTGCTGCACTGAAAGTAAAGGGGCTGAATAATTTTGCACGCCCAATTATTCAGTTTTTTATTTGTTAAAAAAGTTTGAAATATCCAATAAATTTCGTTCCACTTCATGATTGTGTCCCACTTGTTGTTGATTCTTCACAAAAAATGACAGTTTTATATCTTTATGTTTGAAGCCTGAAATGTGGCAAAAGGTCGCAAAGTTCAAGGGGGCCGAATACTTTCGCAAGGCACTGTATGTGTGTCAACTGCTCACAAGATGAAGAAAATCATACATGCACTCTTATAATGACAGAATGCCCTATTCTAAATCATCTTTCATCTATAAATCCTGTCTTCATTGAGCTTTTCATGCAATAAATCTATATTTGTAGGTAGCAGCTGATAAAATCACAGAACCCATGCAGTACCTTGTGATGTCTTCAGACAGCTGGGCAGGGTCCGGTGGATAAAATTTCACATTAAAGGTGAAATTATAGTTGGCACCTTGAAAAAGAAAAGGAGGGCATGAAGAAATCACTGTAAACACATATTAGAAACATGTTACAAAAAAAGCAAACAAGAATAGAAGGTGAATGTGTGGGTACATTTAAGCTCACCTTGCACCTGCCTGCGGATCTCTTTGGTTAGGTCCATCCAAGTCTGGTGAGAGATGTAGCATGACATTTGATATCTACAACACTCCTCAGTGTCAATGTTCAGTGCCTAAGGTTAATCTAACCTTCATTTACATACTGTACACAGAGTTGTATGTTTTTTGACTTCATGGAATACTGAGGCAGGGGTTGTTGGACTGAAATGAACTAATTACAGCCTCCAGCTCACCTTCATAGTGGGTGTTTCCCAGATGGCCAGGCCGTAGTAGTCCTTCTCCAGAAGGTTGAGGTGGTCACACACCTTAATGAACAACTCCTGGCCTTTGGCATGTTTCTAGCACACACACACACACACACATAAAGACACTTAACAATCAAACATTCACCTGCTAGCATAACAGACCTGACATCACATATAAAGGATAAGGCATTCAGTAATGTGCTGAACATTACTGAGCAGATAGTGATAACAGAGACCCAGTGGTTACTCTCCAGTGTGTACTGTCTAATTCCATATACAAACTCCTGGTTTAGAAGGAGGTACGGCCAGAAGTGGCCAGGATGGCTGTTTGAGGTGGGGGCCAAAGTTAATCTACACGCATGCAGGAAGATGGCCTTTGGTAATCACCTTAGTCATCAGGCAGTGGGGTGTTCCACTCCCAGTTGAGAATGATAATAACAATCACTTTATTTGGCCAAGTATGTTACACATACAAGGAATTTGTTCCCGGTACAGAACCGAGTCAGCCATCTGCAGCACCAACTCACACTTAGGGTTCAGTGTCTTGCCCAAGGACACTTCGACATGTGGACTGCAGGTACTGTGATTCGAACCGCCAACCTTCTGGATGGGAAACAACTGAACCACAGCCGCCCATATACATAAGTAGGGATTTTATATTGAAAACTAACTTAACCAATTTACAGGTTATCAAAGTTATTTTCTTTGGAATACTCTAACCCATTATTTTATCAATTGCTACAGGTCTAGTGTACAAGCTTTTGAGATCTTGAAAGTCCATGCAGCCTCACGTTTTAAATTTTACCCCACAAGCCAAATGTATTACACTGGGACCAACCAGATTTCTGGGACCATGTGGTTTCTCCGTTGTGGTGCGTCCTACTAATTTTTCTATTTAACAAAATGCAAAGAAGTGAGGAATCACAAACCATTCGACAACATCTGCAAACCAAAATGACTATCTTTTTAAAATATGACCAAGAGCAACACAGAGAATGATAGCAAACGCATTAGATCAATCCATCAACAGCCTACACTTTAGTCCTCATGGCCTCAGGATTAGGTTTTCCCTAGCTGTTGAATATTAGGTTTTTATAAGTCACAGATCTGTTATGGCTTCAGTTCTTACGTATTACGACATTATCGTAGTTTTAGTATTTTTTCTATTAAGCAGCTCTCGATGAAAGATACTATTTTTTTTCTTTATTTTGTTAGTTACTGTTACAGTACTGACTGTTCTTTCCCCTCTCCACTAGGTAGGAGGATGATCCAGCTAGAATAGATATGTACACTAACGAACTCTAATAACCATTTCCCTGACATTTTTGTATGTAAATACACAGACTGACCAGGAAAAAGATTCTTTACTGTATAGAGTTTTTATTGGTTTAATATTTTGGGGAGCGGGGATTTAAGGTTTTACTACTGGTGTTAAATGGTCAGGTTCCTTCCTGTATTTGTTAACTAATTATGAGCCCAGTTGTTGCTTGAATACTGCAAGAGATAACTATAATTATGACATGTTAATACTAACATAATAATTTCAACAAAAGGCTGTGGCAGCAAATATTAAATTTTCCAATTACATTCACATGATGTATGAAAAATGTAAATTAAAAACGCTCTTACATCCAGCTCACACTCATACAGGGCATCGTCTAGCAGGGTGACTTTGATCTGCATGGTCTTGGGTCGGCGGGGAGTTCTGGGAGCTTTGGCCTCCTCCTCGGTTGCCTTCTCTTCCTTCTCTCCCTTACTGCCTCCTTCAGGAGCAGACTCCTCCTCCTTCTCCTTCTCTTTTTCCTCCTCCTTCTCCAGAGCAGCCTCCTTCCCTTTGTCCGTGTCAGTCTCTTTGTCCTTTCCACCCTCCTCCTCAGCTTCTTTCTTCTCTACCTGGGCAACCTGACAAAGACACTCTGATTACAGTTCTGTCTAATAATTGTATTTTGGGTCTCAATACTAGCGTCAACAGAACTGACACAAACAGGACCGATCACATGTTAGATCACATCCTGGGCATATGGCACATGCTGTGTGGACTGCATGCAGTGATCATTCCATAATTAACATGTTTGATTTCCATACCGTTAAAAACTCCTGTCTTTCAACATGTATGCCATGCAAACAAGTAAATACTTCATGTCTGGTAAATTATTGAATGCATTCACCTGATAAACAATGCCATCTTTTGCTCCCTTACATGACAGCACATTGCTGCTTTTAACAATAAAATGTTTTAATATCAGAGGTGCCATCGGTGACCTGGCATTAACTGGTCTTAAGACTGTACCCAGCATTTTATGGTGTCTACTGCTCAAGGCCACCGTGCACCCTTATTATAGACACAGGATAACCTTAGCCTCTGCGCTGTTTACTGAGTGCCGATCCAGGGCGACCTCTCCCTCTGTCCTCAGCTCAGGTTCTGGGTCAGCGATGGGGGCTTTAGCTTCTTCTTCTTCCTTGTCCTGCTTCTCTCCCACTTCACCTTCACACTGCGAGTGCCTCCTCAGGAAGGATGAGAAGAGGCGCGAAAAGCCCCGGCTGGCAGAGTTGCGATTGCGAGGCCGGAGCTGCTCCTCTTCTGGTGAGGGCGGCCTGGCTTCCTGGCTAGCTTCCTCCTGCTGCCTTGGCTTCTTCTCGTCTGTTGTCATGGCAACAACTGGGAGGGTTGAAGACACATCATGTTAAAAAACAGAAAGAGCTAATTTTAACTTGGGCCTGTCCAGTGACTTAGTATTAGCAGTTTGCACTTCTATGCAATTGGAATATTCACATGAGACAGATTATAAAGAGGACTGTCAAACCCGAAGCAGCAAAGCCCAGGATATCCTCACTTTCTGTATGTCCTCGGTGTATGTCAAGCTCCAAGAAACACTGGATCCTGTATTTCAAGCCATGCAAATTAATAGCTTATTTCTATAACAACCATTTTTGTCCTTTCAGACTCTACGTTCCCTGTTCATAATCCTCTCTTCTCATTCCATTTTGAAGCCTCCAAGTCCAAGAAGAATCACCCTGATGACATCAGTTTATTATAGTCCCTCCTCAAATGTAAGATATTTTTCGTTTTCATCCCTTATGCACAAAGGGGGGCCCCCTTTGCTCTGCTTTCACTGATTTTCTAATTGAAATGTTAATGATATTAGGGATGATGCTGGTGTATGTTTTGCTATTTGAAGTTTCCTTTTAGAAATAAAGATATATTATGATAAAAGTATTGTTTTATTTTTATGTTTAATTCCAAAGTAAAAGCAAAAACAAGTCATTTCTATGCTCACAAATGTGAGGCATAAGCCTAAAGTCAGACCACAGGCAGTGGTATTTTACACAAATGGTTATTTCCATTAAGATAATTCTGTCTTCAAAACAGGTGAAAACAGGTGATGTAGGCTACTAGACAAGACTTACATGCTGCATATTTTTGTTCTGTTTAAGGGCTCATGGGCGCAATTTTTGATGACCATAAACCAAGATGTCACATTGTCATTCTGCTAGAACAAATCACACCCTGAATAAGAGGAAGACATGCAGCTTAGGTTAATTGGCAACTCTAAATAAATAAAATTAATAATAATTATTATTATTATTATTCCTTCATCCCCCTCCCCTCATTGAAAAATCTCAAATCTATGAATATGCATTTATTTTTATTTCAAACTGCTGGACACAAGATCTATTCCTTTCACAGTGCTCTGAACCCGGCCTCCTTGATGCTGTAGAACCAGTCACAAGGAGCAGCCCTGCAGGCAACCATACATAATGAACACTGTGCTGACTGCATTTCACAAGCAACAAAATCCTTTGTGTAGCAAGTCTCAGTCCATATCTGCAGCAACCTTCCTCTATCATGTAATGTCTTAGGTGCAAAATTATCCTGCACAGATAAAATGTTTATTAAAAAAACCGTCTAAGTAAACATGATGGTTTTTCATCATCTGAAAAGTCCATGTAAAAATAACTTCCATCACTGAAAAACCATAAAAACTAACAATTACATCCATATCACACTATGATCATTAAAATGTAAAGAATTAACTACCACTCTGAGCTGCAGCGTCCATTATGTCACACTAGGTTTCTCACTTTTTCTATTGCCACAGGTTTCAAAACTAGTTTTTGACTTGGTGCTATCAACAACACTAAACCCCAGAGACTGCTGGGATTCTCACCCATCACGCACACATCCCCTCGTCTGCCTGTCATTATTACTCTTTCTATTCTGCATCATCCCCTCACACGGCAAAAGAGCTTGGCCTGTGGATAATGTGGCCATATGAGGGCTGTCTGCTCACATTTACACTCTAATGTCTGCACACAGCAGAGACAGTGGGCGGTTACACGAGTTACATCCACTGGCAGCTGAAACATCACAGCAGTCAGCAGTGTTGTTGCTGCGGCAACAAAAACAGCCACGTCAGAGAGGAAGATTAAAGAGAAGACAGAGCGGGATGTGTAAAAATCTGTGCAGCCACAAGCTGCTGTTAAAAACAAAAGAAGCCTTACATTAAAGAAAGATGACCATACCCGTTTCCTGTTTTAATAGGCGTATGCTTAACGAAGATACATCGCCAAAATCTCTTTACTAACCACAGTAAATGCTGTTACACACCTCTAACCAGTCTCTCACTTTAATGAGATCTATTTCTAAGCCCCCAGAACATTTGGTAGATGAGCTTGTTGGATTTCCGTTTTGTTTTTTTAAGTCTGACCTGCAGATTCCGATTTTGGCCGATTCCAATGTTCTGTCTAAGAACTGTAACTGACAGCATCCCCAAACTGGCCGCTGACCTGTTGCTGTTATAAGTTAGGTTGGGTTTCCAACTGCATACAGTTCAGTGTTGGTCTGAACTCAGTCTATGACGTATGCCCAGTGCAACTAAATGTATCCCTGCTGCTGCATCTATTATCACAAAGTTTCACCTGCAGCCAAAAACACCGGTACATGAATGTGTGTGAATGGGTGAATGGCCAAAGCGCTTTGAGTGTGCTGTAAAGCACCGTTTACACAGACATTTCTATAACTTTACTGAAAAATTAAATTGTAATAATAAAACACTGTAATGAAGTTTTACATTTCTGTCTTTTTCTCTATTTATAAAAAAAAACCCCAAATAAAACTGAAGTGCAATATTTGTACTTCTCCAAAGAAAAACAGGTGCAACAGGTAACAGAAACAGAAGAATGTCTGTTACTACTGAGCACACGGTTCTTTGTGAAGTGTGTGTTTGTATTTGCTGTGTTTCACCATGAAGTGGACACACTGTACCTATACAAGCATTTCATGTGGAGCTGCTAATTCCCTCATTGTGTAAGTTGGACATTTGGACATAGTTCCCCTTCTCTGAGGTGCTTCTGTAGGCTCCTCTATGTGCCGTTTGTACACCAAGTGAACACAAGGCCGGTACGGGAACAAGGGCAAGACTAACTTAAGGTGCCTGCAAAATGCTACACACTGCACACACTATGTTTCTGGTCTGTGCCACTGCATGCAGGGTGTGGACTGGGACTGTGCACCTTTAAATCTGATCAGCACAAAATCTCAGAGTGATCAGCCGGTCACTTTTATAATGTTGTTCAATGCGCAACATTGAAAACTGCATACAGCATTTTTATGCTGTAGAGTCCCTGAGTGCGTTTCAGCCAGGTTTGTATAGCTATGTTTTGCCTACGCTTTTTAGTAGGACCTTTTAGAAAGGCTATGAACAGATCTGTTTTTAACAGTGATCAGCAGCCAAAACCTATTTATGGAAAACATGGACATGACGTATTTGGCATGCTCAGGGTCTTAGTTCAGATCATTCAGCACAGTCTACACTAAGTTTCTTGTTTCAGAGACAGATGACCCACCACCATGTAACCTTCATGTGTCCTAAAGTATGTTGGCAGATTGAGGGTGGACAGAAATCACAGCTTGCCACCACATGAACTTCCAAAAGCCGCTGGCTGCCTGCAGTGCTGAGTGGATTCTGCTGAGTGGAGTGCTGACATGGCAGAGAAAGTGAAAGCTTGGGCTCCCTGGCTCCAGGTGCACTGAGAGTGTGTAACTAAACATACAAAAAGGAGTTCACATTCTCATGGTTGATTGTTCTGTCAGGGAACGGTCTATGGCAGCAGTTTGTAGCAGGTGTCACATACAACACACGCGTTTGTGGCTTTTCAGTCTGGATAAGCTCCACAGCTCCTCCTCTTTAGCTGACAGCGTGTTCATCAGTGGAATGAGAAAACCATGCTTCTTCCACTATGATGAAAGAGTGAATGTTCATTTGTTCAAATTCATCCATATTCTCGGAGTAGGTTGACATTATAAATCCAGATGACTAAAGAGGCACGCGGCCATGCTAATTTGGCTAGCCCCATCTTCCTATCTGTAAGGTAAGGTCTCTGTGATCTGCTGTGGCACTATGTCTGGGTATACAGACCAGTGGTAGCATCCATAAAGACCGATAATGAAACTGAAAGGTACAGCTAATTAAAATACAGCTCTATGTGGACAGTTCTTATAGTGTTTGCAAAAGCATGAAAAATGTTTTAAAAAACACAGAGGACCCCTACTTGGGTCATATGAGGTATCAATCCTTCAAGGAGAACTTGAGGTAAAAAGAACAGTTTTAAGCCAGTAATAAAACCAAGAAGTCGCTAGCTAGCCCTTACTTCACCAGGCCGACTTATCTGTATCACCGTCATACTGTTTTTTAACTCGAACATTTAACAAATATGACAGCTGATAGCACCGATCACTTTGTAGCACTCTTACTGGTCAGCGTCACCCCAAATGTTCGTAGAAGCAAAAAACATTGTGACGTATTATTACACTTTGCCTAGAACACACTGAAATTCACTGAGTCACAAATGGACCTGCTGGGGGCAAACAGGCTTGTTTTACTATACATCAGTAGAGAACCACCTGGGTTAATAACTGGGTCAAAACAACCCAGTGGTGCTGTACCGATCCATGCTACTATAGGCCAATTTTTACCCAGTGATTTTTAGAAAGAAATACATTACTCCTAGCCTCTTTCCAGCTATAATACAGTCAAGAACCCCATAATAAACTCTTATGATAGTGAATCACATCATGCATGCAGCCCTCGGACTCGCTGATCACTGCATGGCCCATTTCATCCCATCCTACAAGTAGAAACTTAAAGCTGCAAACCCTGTGGTCAGAACAGGGAAGAGATGGACCAAGGTCAGAGCTACAGGCTTTGGCTGTACAGACTGGAGTGTATCTGAGACTATACTTACAAACCTGAATGAACTCACACAAACAGATTCACAGAATGTGCAGATTTGTTTTTAGACTTTGTTGGTGGTAGACCCAGTAGAGCGGTTAACGGTTCTGCAGCTTCACTGTACGGGACACGCAAGATCTGCTGTGGGGTCAGAGGTACGAGATTCTACCAGCTACCAGAAAAACATATGGTATCCAACATTATCTCTTTCTCTTCTGTTATCTGTCTCTTTAGAGGATAGAGAATTTTCTGGAGCTTAAGTCATGGAATAGATCCTGCTCCAACACATCCAAAACTTCAGCTTGATTTCTGATTGGTGGTTGACTGTTATGGGTTTTTCAGTGGCATGGGTTTTATTATTTTAAATACAAAAACATACCCACAAGTAATAAAAACACTAAATGAAACTGATTTCTGAGGTAGGTCAACCAGTTTCAAAGAATTCAAATAAATTCGTACAATCAGACAGAGTAAGGTTTGGTTCAAAGGCTAAAACTGCAGCACATTTGGGCACATCTATATTTCTGACTGTGGTATGAGAGTGCTGAATGTGAGCTTAGGGACAGAAAGCGGCTTTAAAACTAATCAGGCCCTGTGTGGGATTAAAGACTGCTGTGTGCTGATGTTGAGGCAGTGGAAGCTGGATGTCCCATCCCCCCATCCCCTCACTCCCAACACACAAACACAGACAGGGCCGCTCTGCTGACACGAGCTCCGGAAGCGACCCAGAAACCGGGGTTTGGCCTGACCCAGATGATATCGGAAGCAAAGAACTGTTGCTGAAAGACACAAGTGAAGAAAAAACAAGCCCTAAAACACACACACACAGCATCTGTGTGAGGAGAGGGCAGCAGAGGGTCACACTGCTACCTTGGCCAGAGGGATAAACTTATTGGAGACAGGAGGCATCAATGATACTGATGGAAGCAATCAATATCAAGACACCGCACAGCTAAGAAATAGTATGCAGTTATGCCAAGAAGTATCTAATTAATCAAAAACACTGAAAGGTTAGACTTAGCCAGTTTAAGGAAAAGAGCTGCATTCTGATGTGGTGATGTTGGAATAAACCCCTAAAATAACCACACATATCTTGGTAAAGCACAATGCCCTCTGGGAATCTGCACAATGCCACCTAGCCAGTTTCAGCTGTGCTATAAGAATACCACAGAGGACAGAATGTCTTACTGCCAGTACAATTCACCGTGTGGGTATAGTACATCAACAAATGAAAGGCTACCGCCGTGTCAAGGCACACTCTTAGAGTTGATAAGTGCACCTGCTTTGTGCTTCTATAACAAATTTATCTCGAAACATTCTCAACAACACAAAACTCAAGGTGCTGTGCATAAGTGTAAAGCATTTTTAAATAACACGATTATCCACACCAGACACTAATCACTAAAACCCACTGTCTGTTGGGGATTTCTCAACTGCATCTCGGTGACATCAACCCTAACACCAAACCCCATCTCCAAACTCCAAATCCAACTTCTGATGAAGAAAACCATGAGATGTGATTGAAAGCTCTAGTAAGTAAATTTTAAGTAATGATTTTGGGGCCAACTATTAATTTCGAGGTCAAGACTAACACTCAGCTGTTCACAATCAAAGACACTTAAGTGACACGTGACAGTATCCTTCCTGTAACAGAAAAGACGAACTGAAAAGCATTTTCTACCAGAAAAACAGCTTAATGGCAGGACACATCAGTAATGTTGGTGTTCTCATCCAAGGTGGTGTCTGTGTTCTTCCTTCTTTCTATTGTTCCTTCCTCATTCTTTCTTCCTTTGGTTCATTTCTTTCTCCATGCAATTTATGCCAATGTTCCCTAAATGTGGGGAAAACAACAGTGAAAAAGGGGGGAGATGCACCGTGTGGCTGCATGATTTGCTTTGTTTGCTAGCAGTCTCAAGAGATGAAGAACAAAGATCAGTTGTACACAGTGAACACGTGAGTGTGAAATCAAATGGGGGGGTGATAAATATGGAGAAAGACAAAGAGGCAGATAAGTCAAGAGAGTCGTGAAGAGAGAAGAGGCAGAGCGGCTCACCAGGCTCCCAGCATCCATCACTACTGCACATCAGAAATGTTACGTAGGGGTTTAAAGTCCCGACAGGTGTGTGTGGAAGATCAGAGCATTTCAGAGCACGATGACAGGTAGTGTCAAACAACACAGCTGAAAGCTGCTATCACACTTTGGCTTTCAAGGTCATTTAACACAGGAACTAACACAATTAAAACAAGAGGTACTTTTAAATTTGTTTACTTTACAGTTGACAAAGCAAAGTCCACTCACTTTCATCTCTATCATAAGGTCTTCATGACAAATGAAGTTTACTGTCATAAAGAAGCAAATGGACCTTGAGTGGGGATTTATCGAGAATGAACTGTCAAGCACAACAAAAAAATCATCTTCAATTATGTATGTGAATTTAGTTTGGAATTATGTATTAACTAATGAAGGATTTGAGTGAGTCTTTGTCCCAAAGCTGCAGATATAATTTGGCACACATAGGAGTTTGAGGTTTGTGCTGCCTGTTCACTGCTGAATAGTGATGTGCAGATCGATCGAAACATCCGATCCCAATGTTTCCTGTTCTAGGTTTGAAAAAAAATCGATATCTCAAAAAATTTAGTTAATTTTGGGTAAATGTATATTTTTTCTTCAACAGGGTACAGGAGACAGTAACTGCACTATCCAGGACAGTCTAAATAATACCCGGGTGATAAGAAATACTTCTCGTTCCACCTACCATAGTCATATGTGAATTACGGCTGTGTAAATCTGTAGAACAAAACAAACCTTTAGTCTGGAGTAGCTCGGCAACAAAACGGCATAAACACCAACCAAGATGGCACGTAAAGGTTCCCTGTTGGTGGAAGAAGTACTCAGATCCCATACTTAAGTAACAGTTGTGTAATCTGTTACAAGTAAAGGCCCTGCACTCAAAATGTTACTCAAATAAAAGTACAAAACATACTTAAAGTACTAAAATGTCTCATTATGCAGAATGGAAAATGTAATGTATATCATATGATTTATTTAAATGACCTTTAATGCTGGTAAAGGAGGAGCTAGTTTTACCTTGCATATATGCTTAGAACTGGAATTACTGCTGGGTAGCTTGTGAATTTTCCACTAGAGATCAGAAAAGTCTGATAATTCAACTGGATTTTTGTATTAATCTGGTTCTGAAAAGTAACTAGTACCTGAAGTTTCCTAACAACTTAAGGACATGTTCTTAACCGACCCAATAGAAATCAGTGTGATGTCTTTGTAAAATGAAGGGAAGCCAGGAGACGCCTTGAAGCGCATTCAGTACCATAATGTATGTGGCTTAGTAACGGAGGCTGAGTCCTGCAGCCATCTCTCAGAATCAGGAGCAATCTGAGGAAACATTTTATCACTATTTATTTAATATGATAGAACCATAGAACATAGAACACGAGACAATGAAAATATGTTTTCATAATTGAAGTGGATGGAGGTAACTTTTCATCTTTCGGTAGAAAAAAGGAAAGCATGAGTCTTCTACTACTGACTGTGCTCAACAGTCTCCATGATGATTCTGGGCTGAACCAGAGGACACCGACTAACGCCTGGTCCCTCTGGCTCGGGATTGCAGCTGATGACTAAGACACCAAATCATTAACAAAATAGGCGCAATGTATCGTTTCAATACCTTAACTCAGAATAGCATTAGAAAGGTGTCGCTGTGCGCATTGTACAACTAGGCATCATTTCATATTAATACGGCATCGCTTCATTGTCGGACATAAGAATAAATTCAACACTTAATGAAAATTATTCCTACTTTCCTGCGGCTTTTGTTCCACAATAAAACCTGCGCGTTTGAGAGTAAGAACAATAAGAGGGGCGGTAGGTGCACCTGTCTGCAAATGCCGCTGAATGTGGAAAAATGTCAACAAAATGTCTGTTAGCAGCTCAACGTGATGTGCACACGCACTCACCTCACTGTGATCATCCAGCGGAAGAAAAGACTCCGTGTGAACGCAGACGGCCACTGCTCCTTAAGCATCCGATAAACAAAAAACGGTAATTCATCGAATGTGTTTTGGCAGCAGGAGCAAACGGTACGCTCTGCCCTCAGTCTTGTCTGACAGGCAGCCAGAACAGGCGCAATATGCGTGATCCCGTAAATACAGTATTCATACACGATTGGAGGAAAAACATGGGTAAATGAAAGCACCGAAAGAGGAAATCAGTAAACCACAAGGTGGGATTTATTTATTTATTTTGTAGTTTTTCTTTTAATCAAATTACGTTGAACTATGACTTTGGCGGTGTTTAACTAAAATTGATAAGTGGATTGATTGAAATTGAACAGTCTACTTTAACTTGATAAATTGAACTCATTAATGCAAATAGTAAATGCCACATTTAAAAAACAACGATTTTTTTCCCTTTAAATACTGGAGAATGGAAATGACAAAATCAATTTTCACAAGAAAATATTTTATTATTGCTCATGGATCTTCCTACAATGTTTAATCTCAAAACATAATCCATTACTTAGACACTTTCAAGTATTAATTAATATATTAAATTTCGAGACCTGTAAACTGTCATTTAAAATGTAATGACACACATGAACCCACCAAAAAGAGCTTACCAATTAGAGCTCCCACTCCAAATTCAGTTAATTAATTGACCTTTTTAATATTATTTAGAGTCCCTAAATTTGGCATTTAAATTGCAAGATTTGATTATAATAAAAGCTGCAATAATTGATAAGTTTGGCCACAACAGATAAGGTGAAGCGTCCAGCCTGTAAGACAATACACAGGGTTACTACGCCCATTTAGAAACCCTCCTTTGTACAGGAGGATGGAGCTTTGCATGTAATTGGGCAAGTGTGCGCGTGGTAGCAGCCAATGGGAGCAGTGCAGGGAGCAGCCTGCTCCAATCAGAGCTCCAAAAGCTCCTGCTCATGGCAGCGCTCCATCATCAGTAACCAAGGTTCCCTGTGCCATAAAAATTAATGCGACTGAAAACTGTATGAGTGGAAGAGGAGACCGGGTAGGCTGAAAGTATTTGAATTAATTCATAAAAATATTAGTGCAGGCCCTGGTTCTGTCATTAATTGTGTTTTATTTTGCATAGAATGCTTTGGGATCTCACACACATTCGGGCACCATTTGTCACATGACAGACTGTAGTAGGCCTGTGCTTACACAAGTGCAGTGAAACCAGGTTCTGTGATCAGATCTGGCATAACTCAGAGCCCTCCATGATAAATAAGAATAACGCAGTCTGAAGGAAGGGGACAACAGGGTTTAAGGACAAGCACCTCCAGAGCTCCTAGTTAATACATGGTGCCTTGTTTATTTTGTACACAAAGTGAACAGAAGACTAGTGTGTGCTTTTAGGGGTTATGTATTTCATGGTGAAAAACAATCAAGGGCAGAGACTGTGCAAATTTTTTGCCACTGACAATAATTGATTGTAATTGTCTGGAAGGTATTTCTAATGAAGGCGTTTGTTTGCAGACATAAATTAATTAAATAAAACGTAGGTAAAGGCAGCAACAGTGAGACTCAGCTTAAAGCAATTAATAGTGCGCATTTTATTTTTAAAAGGTCTCAGTACAAAGAGGACTTGTGAAACATATGCTCAAACTAGTAGCCTACAATATTTAATGATAATTAAAACGGCTAACTTTCTCTGAACAGTGTGAGGCCACAAATGGCAATTAGACCTTTACCATGTTATACTATCAGCGAGTGGTCAGACCAGACAACGTAAGGCTGTAGCAGCAAAACTCCTCAAATGCAGTCAGTCAATTTTGGTACTTGCCTAGAGTAAACTGGGAGTGGAATAATACCTTTAAAGTTTAATGGTCCACTCATGTAATAAATTACGTGGTGGAGAAGAAGGTGGTTTAAAGAGGCCACCTACAATTAGCAACATTTGACATAAATTTAAAAATTCAAGCATTATTTTACTTTCTGCCCACTGACTGATCAATCACCCACTCATTTTGGCCATATTTCCTACTAACGTTTGGTATAATTATAAGGTCTGCACAATGGAAATATTCAATAAAAGTAGCAGCAGAATAAAACCATGTAGCAATATTAGTTATGGGAAGAGGATCCTTCCTCTGACAAAAAAGAAAAACATGTCTTTTGAACAGTCACCTGTTCACCCAGTTAGCAAATAAGAAGAGCAAACTAACAGCCATGTAATGTAGCACATCAGTACACACCAATATGACGTGGGTCTCCATCAATGCAGCCATCACTGTTGCAATCAGCATATCTAAGCCACTTGGAGTTCTTTTGTCTGGGTAGCTGTGGGTTCAGCACAACGCTCCCTGCATCAGCAGTCTAAACAGTCAGATCTTCTCACACATTCACACAGATTCTCCTTCCCCCATCACTACAAAAAAGGCCACTCTTTGCCCCCTTCGCTGTCATTAGCAGCCTCCCCCTCCCCCCGTGTCAAGCAGGTGCTGAGCCAGACCGTCTGCTGAGGTGAAGTGACAGCATGGAGCACAGTGGCTGTGCAGGCAGGAGCGGAGAGAATGCCAAAGTCCAACAGCAGCCCCCCACGTCCCCATCCCCTCCTAGCAGCATACCGCTAGTTTGTAAATAGGAACATGCTAATGATTTCCGGTGTAGAGAAGCAACAAAAAGATTACAGCAACTGGGCTGAAGCAAAATCTTTACTTAGTCTTTTCACAACCCATGCTGTGCTGCCAAACATAGTTAAAACAGTGAACCTTATTTAAGATTCCAGAGCAGCTCCTAAAGTTTACAGTCAAAATCTGGCAGGCAATTGATTGTCACTTTCAGCTTTTCCCGTTTAGGGGTCGCCACAGCGAATCGTCACACTGACGACTCACATGTTAACATTTGGCACATGTTTTTTTTTTTTTACGCCGGATGCCCTTCCTGATGCAACCCTCACTCGAACCCATCGCTGCGCCTTAACCACTAGCCTACCAGGGACGGCAAAAATTTGGTAAAATGAATATAAAATGATGTGAAATGGTGGGAAAATAACAGCAGATATCCTTTCTTTTATAAGGTTCATTTGAGGAACCCTGTAGTGTTACTGTAAGTTATGACTCCTCTGCTGTGCCAAACTGAGCTGTATGGCCCCACTGACCCCCTCCAATTCTATACATACAGTACCAGTTCCTCAGGAACAACCATGGACCCAAAGGCGATTTAGCAGTAGTGGCCACCCTCAGTATTGCAGAACCGTGTAACACACTAGACCTTTAGTGCAAAAGCCTGTTTCCTTATGCAGTAGTTATTTTAAAAACAACTATGAAACAGTGACGAAAGTTAGTGTGCAAACACTTAGAAATATCTTTTCTATGACCAAAATTTCATTCCTGTGGTTCAGTAACATTTGAAATGTCTCTGAGGGCTGTATCAGTGATGCCAATTTAGGCGTTTAAGTATATTACAACCATATTTCTAACACCAGGGGAATGGTAATGAAATAGTAATAAGATTGGAGTAGTTTGATGACAGAAGCTGGCTTTAGATAATACTAGAGCAAAAACCAACCACTAAATATAACAGGAGTTACTGTGCACTAAAGCATCGGCCATATAGCCAGATCATTTCATTAGCAGCTTTCTCTGGAATGAGTGCGTGCCATCTTGGGGCACTAAGGCACAGTTATCATAAAGCCCGGCTGAGATCATTTAGTTTTGCAGTCTAAAATAAAGTCAGTGTGTTTTAAATGTAATGTTTTTTGTTTGTTTGTTTTTAATCAAAAGTAACAAAAACGTTTCTGGGGAAGAACCAGGAATGCTCCTTTTGGTCTCGGCTGCCTGGAGGGGTATGCTTGTGTCTGTGTTTCACTGACTGCAGCTGGCAAGCTGTCACAGTCCGGTGTTGCAAGACTGATAAACAAACCAGTGCTGTAGTTACACCAGGAGCAACCTGCAGACATTAGCAATGCACTTCCTCAAGGAGAATGTTCATTTGGTGGCTTGTTCAGGTGCAAGACAAGAAATGTGTTAATGTGTGTACAATAAGTTAGAGAAGAAACACACACAAGCAGAAAAACTAGTGTGGATTGTGGCTCTTGTGTAGCAGGCTTCTGTCTGACTCACTGTCACTGTCCACTCTGCCCATGATAGAATGCTGATGTTACTACATTAAGCAACATTTGATTGTCCCCTCACAGATACTGTACTTTCACTAAACTCTCTGTCCATTAAGTACTAATGTCTTTCAGACACAGATCATATACAGTATAAACGTACAGTATATGGTCCCTTTTATAGCTGCCTCATACTTTGTGTATTTTTGACCAATTGTAAGACCTATTTAGGGCAGTATTAATTAATATTCAGTGGCTTGAGAGGGCTAGAGAGTGTGTTCCATTAACCCCAGTAACATTATGGACCCACACCAGTCCAGTTGCCATATAGCCAGTGTTTGGAACCTCGCCAAGCTTGGCTCATCTGTGCTGCATCTACAACCATCATTTTACTGCATGTCTGATTTATTTCCTCCAAACCAGAACAGCTGAGCTTGCCTCAGATTCCAGCTCCTCTGCGGTGCTGCAGGTGGGGTTTCACACAGACCACAGTTCCCCCATGTGTGAACAAAGCAGTGTTCAAGAGGCTTCTGCTTTCCCCGTTTCCTCTGTTAACAACTATGGTGTGACCCCCAGTTGAACGTGTGCTCTTTAATTACCTCCCTCCGTTTCCAATCAGTTACCTCTGTGCAAACACATCAGCAGCCTCCAGCCTGGTCACTTCACCACAACACCAACAAGCTTACTGGTGTGTTTTTATGGAGAGAAATCAAAATGTCTGCGTAGGGTTTATGGTTCACTGTAAAGCCTTAAAGGTCAGAGCTTTGCTTGGTGTAATAACCGATTCATTGACATTTCCATTCCCAGTGACCTCCTAATTCATTTTATCAAAGTGGTCAGAAAATGTTAAATTAATGTCTAAGGGCACTGGGACCTGACGGAACAAATCAGAATACTCTTGATTCTGTCACTAATGTTGCAGCCCCGCTTTTTTATTATTTGGGGTACAGAAGAACTAGTTCATCTGCTCCTGTCTACCCTGCATTACAACATCAAAATGTCATTTAATAT